GACCCACAAGCCTAAGGTGTGCAGCCTAGTCCTCAAGGACACAGCCAGAGGTCAGTGGAGGCCAGGGTGCTCTTGCCTATGCCTCAGAACCACGTCAGGCCTGAGTTCAGGCTCCATCTCTATCCGTCACTCCCCATGAGATTTGGGGCTGGTGACTCTATTTCTCTGAGTCTCAGATTCTACATCTGTACGATGGAAATAGTAATACTTAGTTCCCAGAACCAAGAATGAGAAACAGCCCATGATTTGTCCTAGGTTGTTCTCAGGAAATGGGGGGGGGGCAAAGTGGAAGCTGGGTCATGAGAATAAATAGAAGATACTGCTCCCTCACTGGACTGGACACTTTCCCCTCTGCTTCCTTCATTCGCCGCCTGATGGGAGGCTGGGACGAGGCCCCCCTTGCACTCACCTCTTCAAGTCAGACAGTCTGCTCTCCAGCAGGCCTAGTGCCTTCGGGGACAGGGCGCCTTGGAAGTCAGAGTCAGCAGGCACAAAGGCAACCTGCAGAGACAAAGGGAGACAGCCTGTGCATCTGAACACAGCTGCTTCCACACAGCTCAGAGCCTCAGTAGACCTCCCTGGGTGCCCAGGAAAAGAAGCTGGACTTGGCTGGGGCTCCATTTGACAAGCAGGTGCTGTTCAGAGCATGGCTCCAGTGGTGGGCGGTGGCTGTCCCAGACCTGCTCTGTGCACTCACTCTCTCCGCCACTAGGGGCAGCAACGAGTGAGAGACCATTTGCCCTAGAACTCAAGTCTCATCACTCATTTCCCAGATTATCTCAAGCCTGACATGCAGAAGGCCCTTCAATCACAGCCAGTGCATGAGTGGAAAACAGTCACTGTCATGTGCTTTGTGGTGCAGAGATACTGTGCAGAAACAAAGAAGTGGATGGTTGCAGTGGTGTCCACAGCCTGTTCCCACTAGCACCATGCTCACATTTTCCCTCCCTCCCTCCCTCCCTCCCTCCCTCCCTCCTTCCTTCCTTTTTCTTCCCTCCCTCCTTCCCTTCCTTCCCTCCTTTTCTCCTTCTCTCCTTGAGCCTGGAGGGCCGCAGTGGCCCAGCTGTCCTCATCATCCTCCCTGGTTTACAACACCATTTCTCAATTTTTCATTGGGATAAAGTTGTTGTTGTTTTTTTTTTGTATCAGTACGAGTGTTTGAACTCAGGGCCTAGGCACTGCCCCTTAGCTTTATTCACTCAAGGCTGCTGCTCTATTACTGGAGCCAAAGACTGCAGTATGTACAGTCCAGTGGTAGTATCTCTCTGCTTGGTTCTCTTGCTCACTGTAGTGTTTAATTGGAGCCTGTATGTGGGGGTTGTGACTAAACAACTCTGTTAAGGTAAAAGGTTTTGCATACTCAATAGTCACAGTACAAGGATTAATTGTGTCTTATTACCTTTCAGTAGACTTAGATTTAATGGGGGTACACAAGGACATATAGAATGCACATGAGGGACTTGGGGTAGAAAACATGCCCTTCATTTTTACTATATGAACCATGATTTCCTGTTCTTTGCCTCAGGATCAGAATCTCCAATGATCATTAGCCAGTTAACACATGACCTTGATGATGTTGACCCTTAGAAGACTGTGCCTGGCTCCTGACAACACTGGGTGCTTGGCACCTCAGGAAACCAGAATCTCATCCTCAAAGCCCTTAGCGGAGCCTCAGAGCTGGGAAAGTGTGACTCTGGAGGAACATGTGCTCTGAAGGAAAGCTTTCTTTGCCTCTAGAGGGTTGGGAGATGTTGGCAGACAAACTCCAGCAAGTGGATCCATGTCCCGCATGTGGACTGACACTTGTGTGGAGACTAAGGAAACAGAGCTGCTGCCAAGCTCATGTCCCATGAGCACACAAGAGAGGGGTAAGTGGTGGTCACATCAGGATCACTGTCCACTCTACTCTTGGATTCATTGTTATGTTGTGGCTGCAATGAGCATTGTTTCTGCTCTCTAGCAACCACCCTATTTCTAGTGGCTGAAGTCAACAAACCTTCTGAGGACTGTTTTTAATGTTGTAACACAAAGTAACAATTGTGACAAGCTTGTTTGGAAGAGGTGTCATTTTTTCTGCCAAGTTTTGGATGATTTTTAAAAATAATCTTTCACAAAGTCTGCAAGTCAATCAGGAATTTCACAATTTGCTTAGTGCTTTCCCAAGGAGTTCACAACTCAGTACAAATCATGTCCCCATCCACCCCCTCTGTAAAGCTAGGTTTCCTGCTCTGTTCTCATTCCTCGTGTCCTGGGTTGCTCACATGAGTCCTCTCCTTAGTGTTATTTCAGATCTTTCTTTTCCTGCATGCCAGGCCCTTCCTCCTGACTCATGGTGACCAACTCTCTGCAGGAAGCTATTTAAGCACAGTGATCATTCCTGCTGGTTTGGGGTAGGTCTTGGGCCTTCAGGGAAGGAGCAGGCAGAGGTGAAGGTGGAACTGGAGATCCAGATCTCACATTGGCATCATTATCATCTCTTGACTATTGAGCACTTCCCACATGTGACACTGAATTATCATCTCTTGACTACTGAGCATTTCCCACATGTGACACTGAATTATCATCTCTTGACTACTGAGCATTTCCCACATGTGACACTGAATTGTCCGAAGACTGGTTTGCAGGAGTTTTGCCTCTGTTGAAATCCCATCATTTTTACATTGCCTGAGTGGGGGTAGACATTGCCTAAAATACTGACACTATCCAACATTATTAGCTGGGGACAGGAGTTCCCACAGTGAATGGGATAATTATGCCTTGTAAAATGGATAGAGACATCATGTGCTGCATGAATTCTATGGGGAGGCCTGGCAGAACAGTGTTCTTCCAAACTGGATGGAACTCACTGCCCATAAATGACTCAAATCCAGCCTGAAATGAGTAGAATATGTTTTTTAGGGCGTCCCTTACAGGGCAGTAGATAATTGTAGGGACTGTATTTACACAATCTCGCCCAAACTCTTGTCACCTGGAGTCTCCTAAAAGCCAGAAACTCCTTTCTCCCACCCAGAAAGTTCCTAATTTATATGGCTCTAGATGTGGTGCAGACATCTGACTGAGAGTGCCACCTACTGCCAGAGAGATCACTGCAGGCTGAAATAGAAGACATCCAGGAAGGTAGGTTTATCATGCTAGCCCTTGTTCTTCTCTAGGATCTTGTGGACCTGGCAGACGTCATCCCACCATGGGGCAATGGGGGACTTGTGCTGCAGTGTGACACCAAGTGTAACTCCCTGGCAGCGTGATAGTTGGAAAGCTAGTCACATGCCAGGCTTGGTTTCAAGTCAAGAACCATAATCATGCAGGTACCCTGACTCAGAAGCATCTGCAGGTTTGTGAGCAGCAGTGCCATGACCATTCCCTGTGCTGGTGCCAATCCTCTTGATTGGTGGGATGGGAAAGGGGTTTGGAATTTGGGCTCAGTGGTGGAGCAGATCCTAGGGTGACACACCACAATTGAGGTAGGTACTGATCCACATTTACTACATTCTTGTAAGATGAGCACCAGAGGGAGTTCCTGGTCTCCCTGCCAGTCCCAGCTGAGCCAAGCACTCTCTTTGTCACTCAGATACAACTAAAAATAAAAACTGGCTACAAAATCTGGAATAATATTAGGCCACAAAAGCAAAACAGGTCAGAAAATCGGCTTGCTATAAAAGGGCAACAGAGAACCGGGTGTCAATGGCTCATGCCTCTAGTCCTAACTACTCAGTAGGCTGATCTGAGGATCTCAGTTCCAGCCTAGGCAGGTAAGTCTTCTATATTCTTTTTTGTTTTTTTTTAGGTCAGTTGTGGGGCTTGAACTCTGGGCCTGAGTACTTTCCCTCAGTTCTTCAGCTCAAGGCTAGTACACTACCATTTGTGCCACAGCTCCACTTCTGGTTTTCCAAGTGGTTTATTGGAAATAAGAGTTTCACGGACTTTCCTGCCCAGGCTGGCTTTGAACCAGGATCCTCAGATCTCAGCCTCCTGAGTAGCTAGGATTACAGGCATGAACCACTGGTACCTGGCAATACTCATCTTCAAGTAAACTACTCAAAAAGCTGGAAGTATAACAGTGGTTCAAGGGGGTAGAGTGCTATCCTTGAGTAAAAAAAAAAAAAAACCTCAGAAACAGTGTTCAGGTCCTGAGTTCAAGCCCTAGAACTGACACACAAAGGCAACAGAGACCCTAATGATAGACGAGTTCATTCTGATATTTATTCACATGTGGGCAGCCGATCCTTACATATGCCACCTGCACCCCTCATATCCACCCAGCCCCCATGAGTGAGACCACCACAGGAGAAGGCCCATGCCCCCAGGGAGCAGCCCTAGAGCAAGCAGGCTCTGGCTGCCTTCACACCCTGTTCCCTACAGAAATAAGGTGCCCAATCTGCCACCTTCCCATATATCACCTCACCATGCTTGGCAGGCCCTCTTCCCTCGGGCCCTGTTTCTTGCTCCACAAAGTATGGGTGCTAGTGTATGTGGTATAAGGCAGAAGGGAAGTCAGAACTAGGGGTGGGGGTGTGATCTGTTAGCCTGTACTGCAGACAGGGACATAGCTGGAGATGGAACAGAGCAAGGATAACAAGGAGAAACTGAGGCATGGCCCTATGGTCACCTGAGACATGCTTGTCCCGGCTGGGGCTGGCACTCTCAATCAGTAATTCCTAAGGAGTTTCTACAAAGTGAGAAGACCATGAGGGGTCCCCAGCACCAGTCACCCTCATTTGTTCCTGCTAACACTGGCTCCTCTCAATCCAAGTGCCTCCCCCAGGCCAGTGTCAACTCCTAGAGGTGTCAACTCCTGCACATGAAAGGTGACTCTGCTCGTAAGTCTGCCAGGAACCATGCATGCTGTCAAACCACCCTTCCTTACTCCTAATGGGTTTCCTTTCTATAATTCTGGCAGAGAAGGGCACTCAGGTGAGACCAAGTTCTCTCAGGGCAAGAGTCTCCACCCCAGTCCTGCCCTGGTCAGCACCACCCGGCAGATTGAGGTCTTTCCATCCACTCTATGCTTGTCCTGAAGGCTGGATGCGGCAGCAGATGGCAGTGATGGTTACTTGTCCTTCCTCACTGGTCCTTTCTGTTTCCTCAGGATCCCGGTGCCTCACCACACAGGTGTTGTCCACAGGGAAAGCTCCCAGGGTGATTGAGGACTCAGGATGGGCATTGCAGCTGGTCAGGGTCCAGCCTGCATCACAGCTCACGGTGACCTGCCAGAGTCCAGACAGGACAAGTAAGGCCAGGTCCTGCATGCATGGTCAGGTCTCTAAGCCACCTGCTACACTGTCCCTCCCAGCAACCCTCAGTGGGGACCAAACTGTGAACACCTGGCTTGGTTCTGCCCCTCACAGCCCCAAAGGGGCTGTGTCCAATGCTGCCCACCACTTCTCAGGCTGCTTCAGCCCCAGCCTACCAGGACACTGGGGCCCAGACAGACATCTCAACAAACCAAAGCCCCTCCCACCTCCCACTTCCCTACAAGCCACACCTCCCACAGCCTTCCCCACCCAGTAATGGCAACTTATCTTTCAACTGGCTCCACAAGATCTTGGGACAGCCCTCCACTCCTTGTTCCAGCCCAACCCAAACCATAGACATCACCCACAGGTCCAAACCTCACCTGCCATGGGCTCTAAAAATTAGCTCTCTTGCTCTAAGACGACAAGTGTGATCCTTTCTCCCTTCAGAGATCTTCCTTCTTCCTCCAACCTTCCATGGTTGCTCAGGCATTCCAGCCCTGAACAACTCCCAGTAGGGTTGTTAAGTACAGAAGTATTGCTCTCTGTGTGTGTATGTGTGTGTGTGTGTGTGTGTGTGTGTGTGCGTCTGCATGTGTGTGCATGCCTTAGAGTGAGTGTGCATTTGTGTGTTTGTGTGGGTATGCCAATCCTTGGATTTGAACTTCAGAACTGAGCCACAGCTCCAGTTCTGGCTTTTTGAGTAGTTAATTAAATTAATTTGGGGGCAGTTAGTTAAAGAAGAGTTTCACTCACTTTCTTGCCCAAGTTGGCTTTGAACCCCAATATCAAATCTCAACCTCTTTAATAATTAGGAATATAGGTATGAGCCACAGAGTCCTGGCTTGCTTTTTATTTAAGGTAATACTGGGGCTTGAACTTGTGAGTGCTAAGCAGGCTCTCTACCAATTGAGCCACAACTCTGGCCCTTTTTCCTTTAGTTATTTTTCAGATAGGATCTCACTTTTTTTTTTTTTTTGTCCAGGTGGGCCTCCAATTGAGATCCTATTTCTTGCTTATCAGTAGCAGGCATAAAAGACACAGCATTACATTACTATGTCCAGCCTCGGCATTGCATTTTTTAAATTTATGTGTGCTATCCTCAAAGGGATACAGGGGACACGGAGAGCAAACTTACTAATCTGGACAGAAGCAAAATCACCCCAACACACACACATACACACACACACACACACACACACACACACACACACACACACACACACTGCACATGACAGCACAGGTGCTCAGGTCCACTGACCACCCCAAGAGGATGCAGGCCCAGCCATCTCCACTCCATCTCTGTAACCCCAACCCTTCACCTTCTCCAGGAGGCGTGATGGGCTGTACTTCTTTGTTTTGCACTGCAGGCCCGGAGCATGACAGCAAAAAGCATGGACACTGGCCTCCGGGTGCCCCACACACTGGCAGGTCTGAGGATTTTCCTTCCTTGAAGTATACTGATAGACATCAAGATCTATCCCCCAATGGGAGCTGCAGCCTGAGGCAGAAGAGGGACAGCTCAGACATTGGAATGTGCGAAGCCCTCTATTTTTGTTCCCTCAACCACACCTCTTTCTCTGTAAGGATCAAAACCAGGAAAACACTGGAGCAGCTCTGAGTAGAAGAGCCTTTGGCCTGAGCAGCAGGACTTCTGGCATAGCTCTGTAACTGACCTGACTTGTAGGAAAGCAGCTCAACCACTCTGAGCCATAGTTTCCTGGGAAACACATGGTCTCCTTTCCACCAAAGAAGGGGAGCCATAGAGCAAGGGTCCCAGGCCTGAAATGTCCAGCCACTTCTCACCCTAAACCCCTCCCACCTCAAGCTGCTTCCCCATCCATCACGAAGTAGATCAGCCTGAGCCTGGGGCTGTGGGCTTGGGAGTCAGGTACACCTGACTGTAAAATTGTGGACAGTTTGCTGGACTTCATCAAGCCTCAGTTTCCCTATTTGTTAAAACAGCCAGAACAATTGCATCGACTCACAGAGTTGCTGCTTAGCTGAAGCAGGAATATGCCTGGGAAGTCCCCGTACTGCCCATGCAGGACCCGGGCTCTGCCCACATTAGGGTTATGGTAGCCAGGACCAGAGCCCTTGCCCCGCTGTGCGACCTTAAGAAATGCACTCAGCAATGTTAGCTGCAAATAGGACTTGGCATGGGTACACAGTGAGTGCCTGTGGCTCTGCCAGATTTGCCAAAGGCCAGGCTTCCTGCCAGGCCAGCAGCCATATGGAGCTCTTGTCCTGGACAAGGTTCTCCAGTACTTAGCTGTCTAAGATAAGCTCCTGAGCTAGTGATTCAAGATAATGCCCATAGTACCCCAAAACCATCCCTGGCACCAAACTCCATCTGAGCCAGGCTCCAGCCCAAGAACCAAAGTCCTTAGCTCCAATGAGGAGCCCTCACCCATGACTTCCAGCCATTTTCGTGGGCAGGTTTTTGACAGAAGGTCCCTAACTAAGAGAAAGGACTTCAGAGTGATGGCCAATGACAGTGGCCACCAGAATGCATACTGTCCAAGGCTAACAGCTGAGCATTCATGATGAGGAAACTAAGGCACATGGCTGAGAAGGAACTTGCCGTCTACTGAGTGGCAGTTGGAATCAACCTGAGCTGTGCCCCACTTCTGACAGGCCTGAACCAGGGCCCCTCACCCACACAGCTGGTAAACAGCTCCTGGTGCCCAAGCCGGAGCCCATCTGCCATCCCTCTCATTGCTGCCACTGAGGAAGGGGAGAAAAAGTGAAGAGAGAGAGAGAGGTGAACCTACCCAAGGCCACATAGCATGCAAGTTGCAGAGCCTGTTTGGCTATGGATCCTAGACTCCCAAATCATCTGCTCACACTCATGGGGACCAAGTATGTGGGACATGTCTCCTGAGCAGCAGGAGATAGGGCATCCTCCTTTCCTTGGTGGGACCAGCCCCTACCTGTGAGGACTTGGTCAGGTTCCGGGCAGTGGGTGTAGGTCTTCAGCCCCACCAAGGCTGGAGGAGCTGTGTGGATGCTGCAGTTCGCTCGGGGGAGCAGGCAGCATCTGGCCACCGCAGAAACCTGGCTATCTCCAAATGCCAGGCAAATGGGTCTTTTCCCTAGGAACTGAGAGACCAAGAGAGGAATGAGAAATTGTTGTGAAGAGGTTTGGGGCCCGGGGAACCTGGTCTGAGAGGGACCCAGTCTGCAAGTTCTGGTTCCTGAACCCTTAATACTGCTCAGCCCCCAGGCAGGCTGTCCTGTCAAGCACAGCTTAGCTATGAATCTTCCCAACACTGACAATGACTTCAAAGTGAACACAAGGGGACCTGAGGCATCAGTACAGGCCTGTGGGCTCCTGACCCCACAGGCCTCTCCTGAGAACCCTCCCTAACATTGACTATGCAGAAATGCTCACTCCCCTCACCCTCCAAGCACTCTACCATTCCCAGGGCCACTCAGGCTCTGGGAACCCCATCAACTGCATCTGCAGTTTTGAGGTTCCAAACTCACAGAGCCTCTGTCATCCCAAACTGAGGGTCCTGGGTGTGGCTTTTTTTTGGGGGGGGAAGTAAGAGGAATGTCAGTATTGGGACTTGAACTCAGGGCTTAGGTGCTGCCCTTTAGCTTTATTACTCATGGCCTGCACTCTACCACTGGTACTACAGCTCCCTTTCTTTCTTTCTTTTTTTTGTGGTTATTTGGAGATAAGAAACACATGAACTTTCCTGCCTTGGCTGCCTTTGAACCATGATCCTCAGATCTCAGCCTCCTGAATCATTATGATAACAGGCATAAGCCAGTAACACCCAGCATAGAGATGGCTTTAGGCAAGGCAGAGAGCCGAAGCCACCGCTGTCCTTTCCCTCCTGTGTCCATGAGGGTGCTGTCTGTCCCGAGTCCCCCAGGAGCACCTGGCCCTGCCCAGGCCTTTGAAGTCGAGACAGGGATTGGAATCCAGAGGACAGAGGACTGGGCACACAGAGTGTGCAGCTCACCCCCACATGCTCGCCAACCCGTGTCCCACTAGGAGAGAAACTGGAGCAGCCCAGCAGCTCCTCCTCCGGGTTACACTCAGCCTCAGCAGGTTCTGCCAGTGTGATGTTCCAGGGTGCTGACCACACAGTCCTGCAGAACAGCTGTTCACCTGCAACAAGACCATGAGTAATGAGGCTCTGGGGTACAGGACACCCTGGGGACTCCAGAGAGAGCATCAGTCTGAGGTGAGGGAGAGGAGCTAAGATACCACATGAAACTTTTAGGTAAAATGTCAGTGTCACAACAATACTCCCAAGCCCTGAGTCCTATCTGAGGAGGACAGTCCTTCTGTAGACCAGGTAGGGGACTGTCACCTCCACACGGGCCTCTCACACCCAGGCTGGCCTCTGCCTACCCACCTGCCCTGCTCACCTGTTTCCTGGGTGCGGGGGGGCAGTGCAGCCAACAGGTTGGGAGTCTTGAATCGCTCCTCCTCCGGGAACCAGGTGTCATTGATAGCATTGCTGATAGAGTAGTGGATCAGCCTCTGCCTCAGCTCAGCCACAGTGAGGTTTGGCTGGGCAGTGAGCATCAGGGCTGCAATGCCTGATGGAGGAGGGAGAGGTCAGACAAGGTGATGGCCTGACCTTCCATCCTAGTTGGGAACTCCTTTTAGGACACAAATGTACACACATGCACACATGATGTGCTCTTCCCAAAATGAAGCCACCTGCAATCCTTGCTTAGTGAAAGCTAGAAAGTAACACATCTTGTTCTCCTACCTCTAAGCCTTGGTATTAGCCATTGTGTTCACCAGGTGAACACCTGTTCATTTCCCAAACCCCAGTGATGCAAAATGGCAGCATCACCATCAGGTCTGCCCATTTGGTCCTCTTGCTCATAGCCAGGCATATGGAGGATCTGGCCAAAGGGGCCGCTGGAATCCTGGTGGCCAGGCAGTGGCATGGTGACTCACCAGCCACATGGGCAGCCGCCTGCGAAGTTCCACTCTGCGTTACATAGCAAGCATTACACTCCTTGGAGGCACTGACAATGCATTTCCCAGGAGCAAAGATGTCCACACAGGATCCATAGTTGGTCCCCAGAGGACCCTGGGTGACCGGCTGGTCCTGGGAATCGACAGCTCCAACGGTGATGACCTGGAATGTGGCAGACAAATTGTTGAGGGAAAGGCTGCAGGACTCAAACATTACCTGTTTGAGTCCCATGTAAGTGTCTCCTCCTGAGGAAAATCTGGCACTTGAGTACAACTGATACCCTAGGTATCCCAGGGTTCCTAGAGGATATAGACATGATGCCTGATGTCCTGTAGAGATTGAACTTAATGGGGAATCAAATACTGAATGGACAGTGTTGTCATCAAGAAGCCAGAGTGATGTCAGGGCAACCCAGAGTGAGCCAGGCTGGGTGTTAGTGGTTGTAAGTTCAGTATCTTTGTAAGACCCTCTGAAGCTATTTGAAGGTTGGGCAGGGTGAGGAGGGAGAGGGAAAGGGGGTGGCAGCACTGCCAATTTTCCTCTGTACCTTCCCTTCTTTCCAGGGCCCAGAAGTCCTGGAGATGGGACACCTGTCCTCCCCCTGATACTGCCAGGCCCACACAAGCCCCACACAAAGCAGTGGCTCTGCAAATGTCAATCAGGAGGAGAGGAATGGTGCAGAGGGAGGATTTGCAAGAGCTGGGTGGATTGTGGGAGGGGTTTTGAAGGTGAGGCAGGGCTAGCCAAACCCCTTGTCACACTGGGGTTTGGGGATGCTGGCCCTCTGACAACCTGCAAGGCAGGACGTGAGCAGGAAGCCCTGCTGGCACCTACCTCAGGAGACGACGCTGGAGAGTAGGCACAGGCATCTCTCTGAAAGTTGCCCGCAGCGGCCACCAGCACTGCTCCAGCCCTTGCCAGGCGCTTGCAGGCATTGTTGATGCTCTGGCTGTACCCACTCACCAGGGGCAGCAGCACTACCATGCGCTTGGAGGGATTGGAGACCAGCTTTTTCCAAAGAAACTCCAAGCCTGAGAGAACAAAGCCATATGACTGTCTGGAGGGGACACACTTCCTTCCTCCAACCCCTTCCCTCCAAAACAGCAGTGATGCTCATTATTTGACCCAATGATCAGTCAAATGCTTCTGGCCAAAGTGGCTGCTGGGGTCTGCCACTCACCCATGAGGATGCCGCTGACCGTGCCCTTCCCTTGGCAGTTCAGCACACGCAGGCTGTGTATGTTGATGTCCTTGGCCACGCCAACACTCTGGCCACTGACCAGGGCTGCCAGGTGGGTGCCATGGCCTTCACAATTGCCCTTCTGCTCCACCAACACAAGGACCAGATGAGAAAGCCACCAACACCACGATTTCCCAACAGACCCTGGATGGACTGCAATGCCCGCCTTCCCTTGCCTACAGCTGAGGACTGGGGATGGACGGTGATGGCTGGGGAGGGTAGCCATGGTGCTCCAGGTCTGGTGGTCCTCATCTTCCTCTGGGATGGGTTGGGGAAGGATGGCTCACCTGTGTCCTGGGCGCACTGGTGTTCTGCCACTCCTCCTCAGGCACTCTCTCAAAGCCAGAGATGTTGATCCTGTCCTTGATTTCCAGGTGATTAGTCTGGATTCTAGTGCCCAAGAGATACACCTCCACAGGGTTGTCCTGGTCTTCCCATGGTGACATTCGTGTTAGAGGAGGAAGAGGAGAACCGGGAGGGTGAGGTTATGTAGTTCATGTGTATCAATGATGGCATGCTCTGCTTACTGATTGTGGGCACTGTTTCAAGGACTGTAGATGAACTCAATCTTCTAAAAGTCCTCCCAAGCTACCTTCTTGTGGACTATGTTACTGACCAGGCCAATGAGACATAGAGATGTTGAGCTGTCCTAAGGTATGTAGCTGGCCAATGAGATTGAACCAGGAAACTCCCTAATAGCATGCTGCCCGTTACTGGGTCTTGTTATCAACTCAAATGGCCCAGCTCCACCTTGAGCTCCGTCATTGGCTGGGAGCAGCCCAGGAGGCCTCAGTGACCTGCTCCTACTACTGGTTCTCCTGAGGCAGGATTACAGCAGCACAAGCTCTATGGTTGCTCTTGTGACCAACTCGAACTGTTGTTCTGGAAACCAGAAATTCAAAATCAAGAGATCAGTCATGCTATACTCCCTCTGAAGGTTCTGGATAAGAAGCCTCACTGGACCTTATCTTCCTTCTTATGCTGACCTGCTGACATTCCTTGGTTTGTGGCCACCTCCAAGTTCTACCTGTTTCCTCCAATTTCCCCTTCTTACAAGGTTTGGGTTTGAGGATATCCAACCGGCTTGTCATCTGTGCTGTGTGGCCTCTCTATGAATGAAGGGACAGCCTTGGGCTTGTCCAGCCTGCTTTATACCTGTCCGTATGGCACCTGCTTTACTCTGTCCCATTCCAACAGCTTCTAAAGGGTCTCCTTCAGCCAATCCCTTGAGAAGCCTCTAGACGATGCTTTCTAGCCCTCTCCCCACTCCTCCAGGTAGGGACAAGGCCATCTTGGGCATCCCCAGAGGGCAGGATGGGCCCTTGTGTCTACTTTGAACTTGTAGGAAAGCTAATCAGCAGTGGCCCCAGGAAAGACATGCCACATCCTTTTAGACCTATCTGGAGGCTAAAGGTATGGCTCAAGTAGTAAGCTAACAAATGTGAGGCCCTGGGTTCAAACTTTAGTACCAGCACCAGACCTTATCTGGAAAAGAGATCTTTCTAGGTGGATCAAGAGAAGATTCTCCAGGTGAGGTCATGCTGGATGAACCAGTGATCCCTAAGTCAATGCAGAGTGCCGTCACACAAGAATGAAGAGGAAACCTGGGCAAAGTGTCTTTCATTTGTAATCCTTGCTATTTGTGAGTCTGAGAATGGGTGGATCAAAGCCAGCCCAGGTACAAAGTTAGGCGCAGTAGCACAAGCCTGTCATCCCAGCTACTCAGCGAGCACAACAAGGAAGATTTTGGTCCAGGTCTCACAATTCTGGCATCAACATGAGAACTTACCTGAAAAGTAACTAATGTATAAATGGCTCAACTGGTAGAGGACCTGCCTAGCAAGCATGAGGCCCTGAATGCAAAGCCCAAGACTGTAAGGGAGAAAACAACAAGAATGAATTTGGCTCATGCCTACAATCCTAGCTACTCAGAAAAGAGAGATCTGGAGCACTAACAGCTCAAAGCAGCAAAGTCCCCTAGATTCCATCTCCAATTTACTAGTAAAACGCCAGCTTAGAGGTGTGGCTCAAGTGGCAGTGTGCCAGGGTAAACAAGTAAGCTGAGCACATGGGTAGCCCTGAGTTCAAGCCCAATACCACTCATCAAATAAATAGAATAAGTCAATTAAGAGAAAGAGAAACAGAAATAAAGAATGGTGAGAGGAGAAAGCAAGAAACCACACAAAGGTGGGAAGCTGGGGCAGAGCAAAATGACAGCCCGCCACCATCACACCTTCCAGTCCTGAAGACACTGCCTCTGCTTCCCCTTAGCCTCTAAACAGTGGGGAGGACAAGGCTGATCACGGCCTGTTCACAGCTAAGGGAAAGGCCCAGAAACAGAGGTGGCTCCTCAGACCCTGAGATCCATGGATAAGGAGAAGGCGTTGGGCTCACCCCCAGACCTGAGGCCCAGCACCAAATCAAACCCAGATCTGCACTGGCTCATCCAACACTACAGGATCCAGTCAGAACCTCCGATCCTCTCCCAAGCAGGTGCCCTTACTGCCTTCCCCTGCTCAGGGTCACTGTGACACCCGCCCAGACACAGCCATTTTCCCAGCCTCCTCCTCTGCCTCCCTCTGCACAGGGAGAGGGAAATGTGGGCAGAGAGGCCTGGAGGCTGGGGAGACAGAGACCTAGATGGGGGAAGCTCTGGAGATCTGGTCTTGTTTTGAGGACTGAAAGTTAAAGAGACCAGAGACTGTAAGTCCAGCCTCCTCCTCTGGCAAGAGTGGCCTGCAGGAGAGAAGATGAGAGAAGGAATTATGAAGGTGGTTATCCAGGCACCAGTGGCCCAGGCCTGTAATCCTAGCCACTCAGGAAGCTGAGATCTGAGGGTGGCAGCCTGATCAGGAAAGTCTGTAAGATTCTTATCTCTAATTAACCAGGAGGGGGGAGAACTGGAAGTAGAGCTTTGATTCAAGTTGTAGAGCAATATCTTTGAATAGAAAAAACTAAGGGAGAGCACTCAGCACCCTGAATTCAAGGCTTTAATTTAAAAAGGAAAAGAAAGGAAAGGAAAGGAAAGGGAAGGGAAAGAAAGGAAAGGAAAGGAAAGGGAAGGGAAGGGACGGGAAAGGACGGGAAGGGAAGGGAAGGGAAGGAAAGGAAAGGGAAGGAAAGGAAAGGGAGAAAAAAGGAAAAGAGGGTAGAAGAGACAAATGTTCCTGCATTGTGCACAGAGCACCAGGAGGGGGTGCAGTCCAGAGTGGGAGAGTAGAGGAAAGAGAAGAGTAGGCCAATTCCCACGACAGGGAGGAGATGTGGGCCATGGCAGCTGTGGTCTTACTGCTGTGGTTGAAGCTATGAGACTCGTTCCACTCAGGAGAAATCCGCCGCAGGTTCCACAGGGTGCTCCGAATCTGGTTCCGCTGAGGGGACATCAGATGTGGGCTCCACAGGAGGCTCTGTGCAAAGGCAAAGGAATCCTCCTCGATGAACTTCACCTGCCTCAGATTCAGGACCTGCGGATGCCAAGGACACAGGATCTCAATTTCATGAGTCACTTAACCAGCAGCACCCAGCACTTGCCGCACCTGATCCCACCAGTGCCCCCAGCATGGCCCACCCACAGTCCCCCTCCCATGGACCAGAAGACAAACCAGGGTCCTCACTGCTCTCCTAGGCTTGGGAGTGGAGGAAGCTGGGACCAGTGCCCCCACAACTGGTAGCTGAGCCCACATGAGTGGCAGGAGGGATTCAGCTTCCACATCTCATCTGGGAGCCAGGCAGTGCCAGTTCTAGGCAGGCTGGACAGTGGGGGAAGTCCTTGGGCCTGCACTGCATCCGCAAATCAGGATGTCAGCACCAGCCATCCTATGTGCCCACTTTCTCTCCAGTCCTTTCTGTCTAGGCCCGCTGGTAGTGGCTTCTGGGTGCTTAGACAAAGGGGGCAGGGGATACCTGCAGGAACGGAGAGCAGAATGTGTGTGCTCAGTCCCCTCCCTGCCCTGTAGCATCACACATCATCCTGCTCACACATCATCCTAGCCCATCCCTGACCCTTCTCTCACCTTAACTATCTGGTCCCTCTGCACAGGGATCCCTCCTGCTTCAAATGAGGGTGAATGGACAAAGTACCATAGGGGAATTGGCCAGCCTAACAAGGAAGCTGCCTGAGGAGGCTGGCATCACTGGCATCACTGGCATGGCTGGCATCACTGAGCTAGAGACCCACCAGTACTCAGTAAGTGTCTGCTGTCCCCTGAGTTTCCATCTGGGAGCATACACAGGCCTCTCCCCAGCCTGTAGAAGTGTAGGCCTGTGCAGGGACTCACCAGGTCCAGCATGCTCACGTCTGACTTTATCAGGATGCCAGGAAAGAGGTCTTTGAAGACGTGCAGCACTTCGAATATGAAGCCTTTGTCAGCAGCCTGGCTCTGCAGGTGTTGGACAATACTCTCCATCTGCTGCCTTTGGGATTCCATGAATACCACCAAGGAGGTGTTGGGCACCTTCCAGGCACTCTGGCCCCAAGGGAGGAAAAGCAGCATGAAGACATCAAAAGAAAGACCCGTCCCTGTCTACAGATCCACTTAGAGCCAAAGAGACCCAGGACATAGAGAGACTACAGATACCAGCTGACTCGGTGAGGCTTAAACCTCTCCACAACACACATAAAGCCCCACTGACATCACCCACAAAAGATCCAAACGCTTCCAAACATGGCATCCATCCCCTAGGGGAACTGTGGGTGACCCTCAGCACCCACCTTGGTCTCTCCCCAGATCCTTTCTCTTGAGACTCAGCTGCAAACTACTGCTAGTCCCTGCAGCTCTAGTGGCTGAAATGAGCAGAAAGTTCTTGAGGATCTTTGCTTCAGACCTTACACTGGGGAAACCGAGGCTGGAGAAGAAATAGCATCCACCCAGGACCTCCCCCTCACCCCTCTGCCCATACCTCAGAGCTCCTGTACATGGCGGCTGTTGGCCAGTGGTGGATCTCCCATGGCGGGACAAGCCCAGATCCCTCTCTGTCTCCATCCAGCTCCTCTTGGTCTCCTGACCAGAACGGTTCCTCTTGATCTCTGGACTGGTTCAGCTGCTGTTGGGCTCCGGTCCTCATGGGGCCCAGTAGCAACAGCAGCAACAGCAAGGGTGGCAGCGGCCACAGCAACCACCCAGAGCCATAGAAGCCCATCAGTGCACCCTGGCACTGACACCCAGAGCCAGGACCTGAGAGGACCAAGCACAAGGACTGGCAGGGCAGCCGGGCTGTCTGGCTTACTCCTCCAGGTTCAGATCTGGAGAGGAGCTGTGTGGTACCTGCCCTCAGCCCAGCACTCCCAAGTCAGGTGAAACCTAGGATGCAGAGTGATGTATACCCAGAACCTGGGATGGTCCCATCTGATTAAATACTAATGGAGCACACTCCCCTCCTCACACACTCCCCAAACCTGAAGCATCCAGTTTCTGTCTCATCCTGCCTTCCATAAGTGCCACATTGCCCCCGGTGGAAAGCTGGGCTGTAAAAAAATATCCCCAATCCTAATTTAGCTGGACACCAGTCCTGCCCTCAGATCACCGCCCCTGGCTTTGAGTAATCACCCAGCTCTTCCCACCACTCCCTCGGGGTTCCCTTCCACTCTGACTTTTGTGACTCCACTCAGTCTGATGGCAGAGTCCTCACTTCCCACATACCTCCTCCCAACGCCTAACTTAGCACCCTAAACTTAGCCTGGATCCCTCTCTGGCCGCCACCTCTTCCTTCTGTGCCCTGCATCCCAACCCCACCTAGGCCTCCACAAAGAGGCATAGCCTGGGTTCTCAGTTCCAGTCTACAGGAGCTGGATCTCAGAATCTGGGAAGATGCCACAGAGATGCAGTCACATCTCAGTGTTGCAAGCGCCTGAGTTTGTAACGATTTCTTTCAGGCACATGTCCAAGAACCCAAAGGGACAAGCATCCAGAAAGCACCTACTATGTGCCAGGCAGAAGGATGAAAGGGGGACCAGCAGCCCAGCCCAGGGGGGCCCTCCCCAGTGGCTTTAGCATGATTGGCAGATTCTCAGTGCTGAGCTGGGACCCTGGGGGTTCATAGCTGCTGCCCTTCCCACCTGTTTGCAGAATCTCCAAAGACCAGGACCAGCACCGCACCAGCACCAGAACAGCACCAGAGCAGTAGGGTCGTCAGCGTCATGGGGATGGAGTACACTCCTTTTCTTCTTTTCTGGCACAGAAAGAGTGGCTGTGTTCAATTGTTGGCTAAAAGTATCAAGTGGAAGTTCTCTTTCCTGTCACCTGTTGGCACTGAAGTATATCTGCTGTTCCCCTTTGGGCAGCTTCCCCAACAAAGTTCTCTTCACTAAGGCTGGGAAGGTGGCTCAGTGGTAGAGTGCCTGCCTTGCATGCATGAGGCCCTGGGTTCAATTCCTAAGCACCACATAAACAGAACAAGCCAGAAGTGGTGCTGTGGCTCAAGTGGTAGAGCGCTAGCCTTGAGCTGAAGAGCTGAGGGACAGCACCCAGGCCCCGAGTTTAGGCACCAAGACCAACAGAAAACAACAGCAACAAAGTTCTCTTCACTAGTAAGAATGTCTGCAAGTGCCTGGGCAAAAAGACTATATATCTCAACCAGGGGGTTTGGTAATTCACAGCTGTAATTTCAAACTAAAACAAAAAGGGCTGGGGAGGTGGTTCAAGCGGCACAACACCAGCCAAACAACCGACCCTGAGTTCAAAACCAAGTATTGAAAAAAGCAAAGAAGGGTTATCTTTCCCTGGGAGGTCTGGAAAGGTGGCCCTGCCAGCCCTCATTTTCAACTACATGGACTTGAGCACAGTGCCTTGAACTTGAATATTTGTTCAGCTTTTTTGCTCTGGTGCTCTTCCACATGCTAGCACATCAGTATAGACAATGTTCTCCTGTGCCGACAGATGAGGCTGAACAGGAGGGAATCTCCATGTCTGCATTCAGCAGTTCTGACATGAGATGAACAGGGGTCAGGCAACTCCCTCCCCTCTCCGTGTTCATTGGCACCTTTGTCAGAACGTGTCTGCTCTTCTGAAGCATCTAGCCCTGCCTGAGGGGCACACTGAACTGGGGTCATCTCACTGTTTCACAGATGGAGAAATTCAGGACCAGAAATATCTTATCAACATCACGAGGCTAGAAGCAAAGCAGATCTGATTTTTCCAGCTGTTTCTTGGGAGCCCCAAGGAGCAGAACGAGGGTGGGGGGGGTAAAGGTTGTATCTTGTCCTCAGAAGCCCCAGGCTTCCCCTTGCACTAACAGAGCTGGAAGAGGATGGAGAGAGGCACTCTGTGGCTCAGTGCCCAGGTGCAATAAGGGCTGGCAAATAGGAAAAGCTGCCTGCACTTCTAACTGTAAGAAGGCCATGTGGAGAGAGGCTGCTGAGGATGGGGCTGCTAGTCAAGGATCAGGAGGGCTAGAGCACAGAGGAGCTGTCAGGAAGGGAGGAGGGACAGAGGCACAGGCTAAGAGCTTCTTTCTCCCCATGAAGTTCTGGAGACTCTGGGGGAAGCAGTGGCAATGCCCAGCTGAACCAGCAGAGGGCACCCAGTGGCCAGAGTGAGGCCCTGCAGCCTGCAGCCTGACAGGCAGGCAGGGCAGGGCCCACCTCAGCCTGGGCAGCACCTGCTCCAGCCTTCCCACCAAAGCCCACAGGGAGGTGGTAAGAGCATGGTGGTAAGAGAGGCAAAGCACACAGCAAAGGCAGGTTAGGTGTGGGAGGAGCCCAGTCAGAGGGCAGTGCGTCCCAGCAGCCTTCCTGGAGGAGGCAGCTCAACATTGTGGTCCAGCTATAACAGGCAGCACATCCACAGAGCACAGCAGGGTCCACTTGGAGATGCTGGGAGGGGGCATGCAGGGACAATTTTAATATTTCAGACCAAGACAGGACAGGGCACTTTCTGAGAGTAGGGGGATTCTGGAAGCTTCTGAACAAAAGGGAGTCTTGACTAGCTTTCTGCTATACATACTCATTCACATTTGTGCATGATCTCCTCTAAGCCTAATAAAGTTTGAGGGCCTCTAAATACTTCTCTCCTCTCTTTCCCAGAAGCTCCTTACAGGCACTGCGGTTAGATGATGGAGCCAGGGCCACCTCTTTCCTTTCTTTTCCTGCTCACCTATGAGCCTGCCCATAATCACAGTGAACACAACAGCCACGGCACGAGTCACAGACACTAGGTGGCAGCAGTGTGCAAGGTAGAAAAGGTCCCCTCCCCAGGCAGCCCCCACTCTTGAGAGATCTGGCTTATAAACAAATGCAGCAATGGTACTCACAGATACTGTGCTGGAATGAATTATACACCTTGTGCGTGGGATGGGATGGAAAAACTTGGATAGAGGGAAGGAAAGGGTGACAATGTCCAAAAGGAAATGTATTTTTTGCTTGACGTATGTAACTATAACCTCTCTGCTTTAAGCATTTTCAAATAAAAAGAATAAAAAGATTACAGATAATCTAAAAAAAAGAAAGAAAAAGAAACAAATGAGCTAAGTGTGGAAGTTTTCTCAGAGCTCCTGAGAAGAGCCCACAGGGGCACGTGGGTAGTAAGGGGATGGGGCAGCCACACAGGGGGTGGGTGGCCCAGGGACCGCCAGCTGAGCCAGCTCCTCCTGCTGTGTGTGTCACAAGATCAAGGCTAGATCAGTGTCTAGGCAATGCTGTTCCCTCCTCCTAGCATTCTTCCTTTCAAATGACTCAATATCCTTTGGGACTGCAAAATCACTTCCTCCAGGAAGCCCTCTCTGGACACTTCCTCAAGACCTAGCCATGGCTGTGATTCCCTCTCTCCATCTTCACTCCCTTCCATGCAGGTGTGGACAGGGTGGTTTCAGATCCCTAGGGTCACTAAAGAGGCTTCTGTGCTGGGGCTGGGGAATATGAAGAGTATGAAGAAAGTTATAGAGGCAGCACAGACAGGCCTTGACACTGAGTTTGCATCCTGGCTCTACAACTAAACTCATTGTGTCCAGACTACAACACGCTCCCCCCTCTCAATTTACTTATTGGTAAAGTGGCCACAATCTCTCCAAACTTACTAGGACAGGTGAAGCCAAGTGAGATGGTGGCTTTGGCAAAGCTTCTGATCCATACACAAAGCACGGGATGAGATGCGTGAAATGTGCCCCCCACCAGGCAAACACCCAACTGTGTCACCCAGCCTGCTGATCTGGATCCAACCTCCCAAGGGCGTGTTCCTGGTTGGCATTAAAGCTGGGGTGGCGGTGGGGAGCAAGGAGGAATGTGCCACTCCAGAGCCTGTCATTCACTTCACATGGGTTTACTGAGTACATTCTGCACTGGACACTTAACTAGGCACCAAGTCCTTGCCTCTAAGGAGCTTACTTAGTTTCTGAAACTGGAGATAGGAATTTATCAAGGAAACTCAGAAAGAACCATAAAAATACAATTCTACTCCAAGCTCAATAGAGTGAGCAAGTGGGAGGGGACTTGGTTCACACAGCAAGAGGACAATTGGATGGTGGTGCACTCTCCCCTGCAGAGCTGGGGTGCAGCTGTTTAGCCAATCCCCTATCTCTGGGCATTATCAGTGCCCAGCCAGCACTCCTCTATCAGTGCATCTTGGCACATATGTAAGACCACCTCCTTTGCATAAATTCCAGGGTAGCTTAGCCACTCCTATATGTGGAACTGTGACCGAAGGAGAAGCTCCTGGCTTAGGCAGGGCCACACTGCAGTGTCCACCAAGAAACCTTCCAACAGGGAAGCCAGGGCCCCACTCACCACATCATCATACCACCATCACACTGTACACCACTGGACAACCATACTACCACATCATCACACCACCACACCACCACAGCATTACACCATCATATATACCATCATGGCACCACACTACCACAGCATGCACCATCACCCCACATCACCACAACACTACATCTTCACATCATACACCAGCATGTCACCCTACTAACACAGCACCATACCATCACACTACCACACCATCACACTGTACACCATCATCATACCACACCATCACACCACACCATCACACTACCACACCATCACACTGAACACCATCATACAACCACACCATCACACTACCACACCATCACACTGAACACCATCATCACAACACACCATCACATCATCATACAATCACACCACCATCATGCCACATCATACACCATCATGTCACCAGACC